GTGAACACATATTTGAATCTTCCACACTCATCAATTTGAAGACGTGTGACTGTACCCGGATTTTCCCGTCTTATCATGTATAGGTAAGAAGGCAATTCTTTAAAGCTACTCTCAGGAGTCCCCAGATCGATCTGCCTTGCAAACCTTAGCGTCCTATGTGACTTCCAATAATCTATCTGTTGAGACCAACATATTAATAAATCAGTCGAAATGAGAATAAACTAACCGCATTGTAATTATAAGTCAGCCATAATATATCTATAACTCAGCCGTAAACAACCCATAAGTCGGCCATAATGTATTAATAAATCAGCGGAAATGAGAATAACCCAACTATAATGTAATGATAAGTCAGCCGTCAACAACCTATAAGTCAGCCGGAGTGTATTAATAAATCAGCTGAAATGAGAATAACCCATTCGTAACGTAATGACATTTCAGCCATAATATATCAATAAGTCAGCCATAAAACAATATATAAGTCAGCCACGAACAATCTATTACCTTTATACTAAAATGCTTATTGATAATTATTCCAACACTGTGAGGTTTAACGGACGGACCAACATCACCAAGAAAGTCCCTGTAAAGAGCTCCCAAAATATCAGGTGTTGCTTGTCGGGATCGATTAGAACGTTCGGTCACAGAACATGTGTGTTCCGAATCGTATATACGAACATAAAAATATGGCTTATCCCCTTGTTTAGATGCACGAACTCTCCAACGACATCCATCCACCCAGCACTTAATAATCAGTGTACTCGGATTTGATACTGGTACATCAAAATCGAATCCATCCCTTACCGAAAGAAGTTTCAGTCGTTTCTCCAACTCGTCTTTGCTCCCGTATCGTTGTCCTACAGCGAGGTTTAGCGAAGACATCTCCAACCTTAAAGCCTCCGAGTTTCCAATCGATCCGGTCATTTCAATGTTCTGAGGTCTCTTCTTAGGAGACAGAGTCGGTGAATCTTCGTCTTTATTCTGAGGCTCGCCGTATACAGTAAAGTTGTCATCATCAGATGACGCACCATCGGAGTCATCGAAAACATCAAATCGGCTTGAAAATTCATCATCTTCTTCATCGTTATCTGCTTCTTCGACATCTTCATCGTCATCTTCGTCTTGGCTTTTCCTATAATCATAACGGAAACCATCAAATCCCCCACCATAATCTTTGTATCTAGATTCTTCTTTTGAGTCAGAACTGATTGGCCGGTTCATCCTATGTCTCGATCCATCCTTCCGACTAATTTCACTAGACTCTTTCTCCGTAAACTCCACACAGAGACGTAGCTGATCGATTTTCCATAGGCTTAGAAAACATTGCAACTGTCGATCATTGGAGACATAAACTGGTGGAGTATCATGCAACATATTTTTCATAGCCTTGTTCGAGAACATGTAGCTCAGCTTTACCTGATGGCTCAACTCCTTCAATCCGTAGTCATCGAAAACCAACTTCACAAGCTTGTCGTGCGTTGTTTCCGTATCTATCTGCACAACTCTACACCCTCTATCGTCGGTGTTAAATACATATTTGTGTTTCTTTACCCAATTACCAGAAACTGCAATTACCGAAACCAGATATATAATATATCGGAGAAGGGTGAACAAAAATGAAGAAGAACGAGGAAGACGATGACGAATTGAATGTTCAAAATTTAAGTTCTGGATATCTCTGTTGATGTGAAGAACAAGGTGAAGAACAACGACGACGAGAAAGACGATGACGACGATGAGGAAGACGAAGACGATATTTCGTATTTCTCTGTTGATGATGACGTGGAAATATGCATCCGATGTCATTTTTGAGTTGATGAAGTGGCAAGTAGCAAACAAATCTTTAAGCCAGTCGTAATATAAATACTATTACAGTAATTAAAAAACAAAAAATCGGCTGCCAAATTCAGCCGTTTAATGTCGTAACTCAACTGAAAATCTTTAGCTCAGCCGTATCGTTTAATAAATCAGCTGTCAAAGCATGTTATTGTGGTAATTAATCTTTCACTACTAAATCAGCCATAATTAGGCCGAGTTTTTTGTTAACCCAGCTCATTACGGCTGATTTACGACACTTGCACGAAATCAGCCGTAACGAAGCAATAACTCAGCCAGCCGGAGAAAGTTAATTCAGCCGTGTCGAAACAATAACTCAGCCAAATTTTGACAAATCAACCATCGGGATATAAATCAGCCGTAACGTATGGCTGGGTTATGCTCGTAAGTCAGCCGTTTTCTCATAACTCCGACAGATCTCGTTAAGTCAGCCGAAACACCAGGCTGGGTTATACACGTAAGTCAGCCGTTAGCTCATAACTCAGCCGTTTTTCTTAAATCAGCCGTAACATACCGTAACTCAGCCGTCATTGCCGCTGTAGCGCTTTACGGCTGAGTTCATTAATACATGTCAGTGATTTCTCACGTGGCAGCGCATTTTTTCTGATGTGGAATTAAAAAATAATGGCATTCTTTGTAATTACGTTTTTTCTTATAACATGTAACAAGGACACGCTGGGTATAGAAAATATAAGCGAAATATGATAGTAATAAAAAAAAGTTTTGTATGTAACTGGTTATATTACCTAATTTATATGATATCTGAGTAACTCTCCCATAATATAAATAAAAATCAAAAGTTTTTCTTTTAAACTTTGATCTTATGTTTATGTTGAATGTATCTCCATAAAACTAGTGTTCTGGCTATATTAGAGAACTCTCTATATTCTCTGTGGTGATATCGATCCCCATCACTCCCATCAACTGATCCAACAAGAGAGTCTAAAGCCAGCTTGTTCGATCCCATCTCATATCTATCAAACCGATTTTACAAGAGAGAGTCCAAGGCAAACTTGTGTAATCTCCATCATTCCGCTGCCTAAATTCTAGCATACCCGACATGTTTCAATTCGAGTGAGCCTCTCCGTAGATCTTACACCAAATATAAACATATTATTTACTCTCTTCGCTTTTACGCTTTGGTAACATGAGACTGATTTAAATTTTGCATTCCCTCTGTATGGTTTCTGAAACAATCCTACAGATGCATTTGAAGGTAAATAAATCCCATATGCCAATTTTACATTTTTTTAATATTTTAGTTTACCCCTCCTGGAGAAAGTTCCATTTCAGAGTTACCCATTGGTGACTTACATTTTGTTGTGAAATTATGACAGGAGGATTATAATAGAGATGCTGGTGGGGGTGTTTCTGGTGGAGATATGCTGGTATGGGTTTGACATGTATAGATACCAATGCTACAACATATATTTGTTAGCTCTGATACCAGTGCTACATTATCTTCAGTACACAGAGCAGGTGAACGAAGTTGCAAGTTAAAGATCAAGAGCAACGCCAAATGATAAACTAATTCCTCTCTCTGTGCATGTATACAAAACAAAGAGCATAAATCTGTATGCATGAAGGTTTTATATCCAACCTTTACATATCTAAAGTAACTGATGATAGTAACACATAAATTCTTATAAAAACAACTTTTAGTTTTAGAGAAAGTAATATCGGATAAAAAAACAAAGACAATCAGCTGATCATATAATTATTTAATTGATATATTATTGTATGAAGTAGTTCTGGCTGAAATTCTCTGTTTCTCCTTAGGAAGGGTTTGTCTAACGTTGAGTTCTATAAAATGGCGCAGGGGTTATTGGAGAACAATGTGTTGTTTATAGTTTGATCTGATCGTCAACTTTTATTTTTTATATTTTAGAGATTCTATTTCGGGTTTATTGTCAAGTTCGGTTGCGTTAATTTGAATTTTAGATATCTATTTTCTGTTTTAGTTTGTAGTAGTTAAAGATTTATGTTAGATATAAAAACTATTTGAAAGAAAGAAAAATTTCGTCGTTTGTGGACTAGAGTCGATATTTCAATCTACGTTTTCGTTCTCTCATGACCGTCCGTTATAATTTATTTCATTTGCATTTTTAGCAATGTTATGAAGATTTATCTATAGTCTAATAGAGAAAGAAGATATAAAACATTGGCCTACATAGAGAATTACATTTAAGGCAGTCGATTGTTTTTTAAATATATAATAGTATACCACAGAAGAATATAACAGCAATCAAATTTTAGAATTGACATGAATGTGTATACGGAGTGTAAAAAAAAGGTTTAAATCACGAAAACCATTTTAAAATTTGTCTTTCTCTTATGGTGATTAAAACATATTTTTCTCATTGCCAAATTCAGTTCTTCAAAATCAAGAATCGAAAAGAGCAATGGATTCTCGAGTTTCTGATTCATCATCAGGAACAATCTTCTTTCATTTGTTGCTCTCTCACCATCGAGTTAAATCTGTATTTTATCCTTTCAAATATTGAACCAATATTTTATCGGTTTGCGCAGCAGCAAGATAAAAGGTTGATTTTGCTCAGCCTATGATAAGAAATATGTAGAGAGCATGGAATCATTATAAAAACGATTTATGACTATAAACTCTAATGTAATCTTTACTTGTATAGTGTCATGTGATGTATAAGAACTTTTGATCTTGACATATAGAAGAGTCTCCGACCATTTCACGTAATATATATATATATATATATATATATATATATATATATATTGTCAACAGCCTCCACATTATTATATTTTATGAGTAAACAGTAAATTTTATGATTAATCTAATCTAATTATATTTATTAAAACACCAGAAATGATATTTATATTAAATTATTAGAAAACCACAATAAACCATGCGGCATAGCGAGGGTCTTCATCTAGTCTGGTGTGAAAACTTTAAGCCAATAGATTTCCACTAACTTATCAAATTTAAAAGTTAAATTTTAATATTAACACCCCTATGTCCACTTGTAAAAAGAAAGAAAAGAGCGAGTCACATGGAATTCCAAATTTGGTAAACATCCATAAATAGACAATATTTTCTTTTTTTATAATAAATAGACAAATTGCCTAGTTTCATGCACTAAGATTATCCATAAAATCAGATCCATCACATGTAATTACGTCTCAGGAGAAAAATGAAAGAAATGACTGAGGAGAGCCCAGAGGAGGATCATGAATCTCCTGGAGTAGCTGAAACAAACCCAGGAAGCCCTTCTTCAAAGAACAACAACAACAACAACAACAACAATAAAGAACAAGACCGGTTCCTTCCAATTGCTAATGTCGGAAGAATCATGAAAAAAGTTCTTCCGGGCAATGGTAAGATCTCGAAAGACGCCAAAGAAACCGTTCAAGAATGTGTATCTGAGTTCATTAGTTTTGTCACTGGTGAAGCTTCTGATAAGTGTCAAAGAGAGAAGAGGAAGACCATTAATGGAGATGACATCATTTGGGCCATTACCACCCTCGGTTTCGAAGACTATGTGGCTCCATTAAAGGTATATCTATGCAAATACCGAGAGACCGAAGGAGAGAAAGTTAATAGTCCAAAACAAAGACAACAACAACAACAACCGCAACAACAACTTCAACAGAATCATCATTTTCAGTTTCAAGAACAAGACCATAACAATATTTCATGTACCAGTTACATGTCTCATCATTATCCTTCTCCGTTCTTGCCCGCAGATCATCAAACTTTCCCAAATCTCCCTTTCTCTCCAAAATCATTGCAGAAACAGTTTCCGCAGCAGCATGATAACATTGATTCCATTGGACAGTGGTCAGTGTGAGAACTTTGTTTAATTTTGTCCGTTCTATTTTTATATAATAATTATATATTTTGTTTCCCTTGTGATTATATCTTGATGCTTATATTAGATACATGCATCTTGATATTTTTCAGTATGCCCATGTCATGATTTTGTGTAACAGAATACTTTCTTGATATATTTTTCAGTATGCCCATATAGATACATTATATACATACATCTTGATATTTTTTCTGTATGCCCATGTCATGATTTTGTGTAACAGAATACTTTCTTGATATATTTTTGGATTTTGTTAAATTAAGTCATGCAAGAGGAATATGAAAAAGTCAGACAACACAAAGCTATATTTAATCGTAAATGCAATTTAAATTACTTTCTTGGTCTGATTATATCTAAAATTGGTCATTTAATCTAGTTGACTAAGTGGTCCATCAATTTATAGAGGGTGTAAATGGTGATAACTGATAGAATGAAAAAAAAGAGTGAATGACATAAGGCTTTTTTACCTTAATTTGTTCTATTATGATCTTCTCCTATTTTGTATAGTAACAATGTATAGAGAAATAGATTTGTTTTTTCACTTATTTGATGGAACTCATTATAGGAGATTCGACCATTCATCATCTGGTCTAAGCATCTGGTCTAGGCATGTTTTTATTCCTATCTACCTAGATATCATTTTGTAACACCCCGGTTTGGCTAAACCATTGTGTTATTTTTTTTCTTTAATATGTTGAAGCTCAAAAGCCCGTTAAGCCCATGATGATATAAAATCCTAATCGTAGAGTTCCTCCCTCCTCTATATAAAGGGACGTAGAGAAGGAGAATCCTCATCACAATTCCTAGATCACTCAGAGATAGAAACCCTAAACTTTAGCCTTCAGCCGTTGCCACCCACCGCCGAGGGAGGGAGGAGCAGCTGTCACCGTTCGTTTGCACCGTCTCGCTGTCTCCTTGCATTTTCTGCTTCTTGTCATTAGATCCCTAAACCTTAACCCCTTTTGTTTTAGCTGTTCATTCAATCCGTGAAATGTGAGGATGTATATATGCCTTTCCTTCCGTGTTATCTTCCCCGATTGTCCCTGGTTCCCCTGCAGGTTGCGCTTATGGCATAACTTGTAGTTGATTGTTATGTGCTTTGATTTACTTTTACTTGTTTCTGAACATAGATTTAGGACTTGTTTATTGCTGTTTAGTGTTTGATTGCTTGTGAGAATTGTAGGTTGCATTGCATATACAGTGTTATGAGCACAATTGCATTATGAGCCGTAAGTGATGCAGTTCCACTTGTCAGATTGTTGATGTTACGGTAGATGCAGTTCCTACTTAGACATGAGTGCCAAGAGTGATGCAGTTACACTTATCGGATTGTTTGGGGTTACGGTAGATGCAGTTCCTACCTATACCGATTTGAAAGTGATGCAGTTCCACTTGTAGGATTTCGAAGGTATGATAGATGCAGTTCCTACCTAGACCTAATAGAATTGCTTGTTGAAGTTATGGTAGATGCAGTTCCTACCTATATCTACTATGATTGCTTGTTGATTGTTGATTATTGGAGAGTTGTGAATGCTTGTTCGTTTAGCTGATGGCTACCGATTTTTTTAGGTTTTGATATGTGTGGTGGACCACATGTATGCATTCTCCTGGGTAATCTATATTACTCATACCCTCCCTGTCCCTTTTCCCCCTTGCGCAGGTGAGTAGGAGCAGCAGGAGTGATTGGCGCGTGATGGTGGACCACATTTATGCATTCTTCTGGGTAATCTAAATTACTCATCCCCTCCCTGTTCGTTTTCCCCCTTGCGTAGTTGAGCAGGAGCAGCAGGAGTGATTGGCGCGTGATGGTGGTGAATGGTTCTTTAGTTTGATACTTGGGGACCTAAAACACTTAGCTTTCTTTTTTATATGGCTTTTCTTTTCTTTAAGGATCTATTGAGGTTATTTTGAGTTTAAGTTTGGTTTGCAAGACTATTTGAGTTATATTTATGAATGAGTATTGGTTTTGAGTTGAAAGGGTGGTAACTAGGTTTGAAAGCATAGTGCGTGGCAAGCCGTCTTAAAATGATGAGAGGCGGGTGTTACAAAGTGGTATCAGAGCCTAGGTTACAAGTCAAACCGGTTCTGACCCGGGAGACTGTGTTTTCAAAGTAAAAATGTTATCAAAAGTTTTAAATGGGGTTGGGGATTTTGCAAAAGTAAAACAGAACACACCTCACCGGATCACTATGCTCTCCAAGCTCAGTAATGTAGTATTTTCGTTATCTTCAGTATTGTCTTCAGTTCGTCTTCAGCTGTGTCTACATCTACATTATGTGTGTCTTCATCTTCATTGTGTCAATTGTATCTGCGTTTGTTGTGGTCAACCGTATCGTAGGACCCGATTCTGATTACTTATTCTTCTGAATAGATGCCACCAAAGGAAAAACGTTTGACTAGTGCTACTGTACGTTGTGCAAGTTAGGAAGGAACCCAAACCACTTCAATAGGAAGTGTGAATGGAGGCAATACCGAGTGGACTCGTGCCATAGAGCAGACAGAAGAAGCACGTGCTCAAGCCTTAGCCGCACAACAGGCTTTGGCTGCAGAACAGGACCGTGCTGCCGCCTAAGCTCGAGAAGAGCAGGCATATGCAGCTTAGCAAGCGCGAGTTGTGGACTTATCGCGTATTGCAGAGGATGATCGTGTGGCTGAGCAGGCTCTAGCTGCAGAGATAGCTGCTGAAAGAGAAGAGCTAATGAGGTACCGCAAGAGGTATGTAAATCCTTTTCGTGGAGACCTCAATGCGGAAGGAGTACATGGAGGTGCCAATCCGCACCGTGAGGAGCCGGTTGTGGCGGGTTGACCACCTTCACCAACATCTTTGGGTTGTGGGCAGGACAGTGAGCCTGTATGAACTATTGGGAGGCTATGAATCACGTACATCTCATGGGAACTGAGATGTTTACTGACAAGAGTGACCCTACTACCGCAGAAAACAGGAATAAGAAGTTGGAGAGGAATCTTGATGGAGCGAGATGTCCACCAGCATACCGCAGAGATCTGGCTGTCCAGTACCTGAAGGACAAGGCCCTGGTATGGTGGGAAAGATCCATTTGAAAGTTGGGTCGGAAACCAAGTGGGGGAGAAGTAGTCCATGAATTCTGGGACAAATTTCTTTCAAGTTGAGGAGAGTTGTAACAACTCGGTTTCGCTAAACCAATGTGTTATTTTTTTTTCTTTAATGTGTTGAAGCCCAAAAGCCCGTTAAGCCCATTAGGTTATAAAAATCTAACCCTAGAGTTCCCCCCTCCTCTATAGAAAGGGATGTAGAGAAGGAGAATCCTCATCATAATTCCCAGATCACTCAGAGATAGAAACCCTAAACCCTAGCCTTCAGCCGTTGCCACCCGCCGCCGAGGGAGGGAGGAGCCGCCGTCACCGTTCGTTTGTACCGTCTCGCCATCTCCTTGCGTTTTCATGCTTCTTGTCATTAGATCCCTAAAACTTAACCCCTTTTGTTTTAGCTGTTCATTAAATCCGTGAAATGTGTGCCTTCCCATCCGTGTTATCTTCCTCGATTGTCTGTAATTAAAGATAAACAGATTTCCTTTCCCCTGCAGGTTGCACTTATGGCGTAACTTGTAGTTGATTGTTATGTGCTTTGATTTACTTATACTTGTTTCTGAACATAGATCTAGGACCATGGTTAATATTGTTGATTGCTGTTTGGTGTTTGATTGCTTGTGAGAATTGTGGGTTGCATCGCATATAGAGTGTTAAGAGCACAATTGCACTAGGAGCCGTAAGTGATGCAGTTCCACTTGTCGGATTGTTGGTGTTACGGTAGATGCAGTTCCTACTTAGACATGAGTGCCAAGTGTGATGCAGTTCCACTTATCGGATTGTTTGAGGTTACGGTAGATACAGTTCCTACCTATACCGATAGTTGAAAGTGATGCACTTCCACTTGTAGGATTTTGAGGGTATGATAGATGCAGTTCCTACCTAGACCTAATAGAATTGCTTGTTGAGGTTATGCTAGATGCAGTTCCTACCTATACCTACTATGATTGCTTGTTGATTGTTAATTATTGGAGAGTTGTGAATGCTTGTTCGTTTAGCTAATGGCTAGCGATATTTTTAGGTTTTGATATGTGTGGTGGACCACATGTATGTATTCTCCTGGGTAATCTAAATTACTCATCCCCTCCGTGTCCCTTTTCCCCCTTGCGCAGGTGAGCAGGAGTGCTTGGCGCGTGATGGTGGTGAATGGTTCTTTAGTTTGATCCTTGAGGACCTAAAACATTTAGCTTTTTTTTTTTTAAATTGCTCTTCTTTTCTTTAAGGATCTATAGAGGTTATTTTGAGTTTAAGTTCGGTTTGCAAGACTACTTGAGTTATATTTATGAATGAGTATTGGTTTTGAGTTGAAAGAATAGTAACTAGGTTTGAAAGCTAAGTGTGTGGCACTCCATCTTAAAATGATGAGAAGCGGGTGTTACACATCTGATATAGGCATCTCGTTAAAAATAATGAGAGTATTTCTTTTCATACGCTACAGTTTTTCTTACTCTTATAATGTTAAATTCTTTATCTGATCATCATTCAAAATTAAATCTGTAGTAAAAGTTAAAAATATTTAAATACTAAAACGTTAAGAGGAGACTAAACATCAAATTAATGAAAGTTTCATATCCATATATCAAATAATATGATTAAATGTAATTAGGTAGCTTAACATAACCTGTGTATAATTATTATAGGAATTATTAACTTGATATATGTTTATCTAAAATCCGTACAAAACAAGAATCTATCGTTATCACTTGTACAAAGTTATTTCTTTTTGAAAAAGGTTCGGTTACTAACATATTTACCGCGATTGTGAATAATGTATTTGGGTTCAAAGCTTTGGTTGCTCTACATCTAGAGAATCTGCTAATCCCTCCTGCTTATACTAGCCTAGCGGAAATGGAAGGATATATATATAATCCGATGGTTCCTTTTTTTAGCGTTAGTGAACTAACTTTAGTGAT